TGCTAGCCTGAATTCAATTCTGCTATTCTTTTCTTTTGCTAGAAGTATAACCCATTACCTAACAAGGGTTTTCAGAAGACCTTTCAGGTGTGGAGAAAGAAGAGGGAGCTGTGATGTGTGGAGTGAGTTAGTACAAATTCCATGAGGCGCATTAAAACAGCATGGCCTTTCCCCGAGACAGACTGAGGTGGAATCTGTTTGCCTGGTGCTTCCTTGCAGAAAGGTTTTTGACAGATTTTGTTTTGGAAGCAGTGATCATTAATTCTGGTGTGACTAAGGAGTAGCTAAAGTGAGACATCAATGCAAGGCTATCATGACTTGGGTAAATTTGGGGATATAATAGTTAACTTCCAAAGTGGTGCTGGACTTTTACTCTGTATATTCCTTTGATGCAGGAGACATAAGGAAGTTTTTACCTTGTTAATACTTGGATTGCCTTTGAAATATCTGGTATTCACCACTCCCCTCCCCACCCCCCTCCCCGCCATGTATTTTCAACTTTAAAGGGGAAAAAAACAAAAACCCAATTCCTGCTAGAGAAGGGAGAGCTGAAGAACATGAAGAAATTGCTGCATCTTTGCCCAGAAGCATTCTGCAATTTTGGGAGGATTTCAGGTGTGTCAGTTTTAGTCGGGGACCAACTGTAAGTGAAATGCATTCCTATGGAAACCAGAAGGTGCAGTTCTTCCAAAACAACTCAGACATAAATGTACATTTATATCCCGGGCTGAATCTTCATGGTTTATATTCTGGAAGGCCTAATATCAGATTATTCTGTCCTGGTTAAGAACAGACAAACTTGCCAAGTTCAGAGAAGGCATTAGCTTGTATATTTGACTCTAGTCCATTTGATCCACATAAATCTGAATCAAAACCAGACAACAAAAACAACCCCACATGATTTTCCTAGCACAACCATGGATTAAAATGGTTCGTGAGGATGAAAAAATCAGCTGAATACTTAATATTTTTATGGTAATGGTTTGACGTGGGTCTTGTCTTGTCCGAACTGGTGAAAGATCTCAAGCGAGAGGAAATGCAAACCACAGCAGTGTGCCAGCGCCTCACCCACAGCTAGGGGTGCACTGGTCAGCAGCAGAACCTGCAAGAGAGAAGAAGCAGACTCTGGGATGCCTCAACTCACTTGGCTGGTGTGTAACGTGATGGGGTATGTGGGGTTATCGCACAATGCCAGCTGGAAGCCGAAAGAGCAGTTAATGATCACACAACATTTTCAAGATGTAGAATGTAATCTATTGCCCAAAGTATCACTTTGGGGTGGGAAATGATCTTCAGATTCAGTGCATGCACTGACCCCTGTGAGAACTGTTTTACGAACTAGAAGGATAATGGAAGGAATGTTGTTCACATAGGCATTAGCTGCTGCAGTCTTGTTCATCAGCACCAGAAGAATCACTCTCTGCATTGTGTTCTGGAATAAAAGCATACTTTGTGAAGGAATATCTCTTTAAAAGTCTGTCTGCCTAAGTGTTCTTCTGGAATAGATCTTGCGGAATAATGCAGTTTTCAAAAGCAGCGCCAGCCAGTTCCTCTGTATAGACAAAGCCTTGGGCATGCAGGATTAGACTTTAGGTACTTACATAAATGGTGTCTCGAATGAGGGCCCTGCAAGCACATCCTGATGATGGTTAGGGGCTGTGAGTTTTGTTGGTTGGTTTCCCAACTTGGCTAGCACTGACAACAGCCATGTGCGCTCTTAACCTCCCACAGGCAGAGGGGAAGTTTTGACAAGCACCTTGAAACAGGCTGAGATGCTGCTTCCATCCCTTCTGCCATTTGAACCACCACCAGGGCAGAGACCAGAGGGGCAGCCAGCAACCCCTCCTGCTCGCAGTACACCGACATCTCCTTTATGTGCAGTCCCGTACTGACGGCGTTACCGAAGGCGAGATAAAACGTGTGACTGCTTTCAAACACTGTTTCTAAGAAGCCCACAGGAGTCTTGTAGAAGTGTTCGTATCCTAAAAAGCACCTTCTCCATCCTTTTAAAATGGTAGATTAAGTCATGTGTATGACTCAGCCTCATTTTCTTGTCCTGTGACTTTAGGCGAGTCATTTCTTTTCCAGCTTTCTGACAGGTTTTGGCCAACCGATCCAAAAATGCCATGTGCCTTGTTTAGAAAGGTGTGTGTGTGTGTGTCACCCTGAAAAGATAAGGCTGAGCTGTGTCGAATTGCATGCCCTTCGAACCACCACTACTCCACGTTTTTAATTAAGCCCGCCTTTGTAGTACCCTTATTTTACAGCTGGCAATATTCATTAGATATGGCCAATACAGTAGTTGATAAATTTTAGAAGATGAAGTGATCGGAGACAACAATTCAACGGTATTTCAGCGGGACGGGGGGGAGGGACACGGGGCAGTCCCCGCTCCCGCCGGGAGCCTGCGCGCCGCCCTCATGGCGGCAGCGGGGTCCCAGCGCTCGGCGGGAACAGCGCCGGGCCCGTTCCCTCAGGAGGAGGCGCCGGGCGGGCGGGCACTGCGGCCCGGACGGCTTTAGGGGGCTCACAGCCCTGCCCGCTGGGGTACCGTAACCTCTCACAGCCCCGCGCTCCGGGGGTGAGCTGTGTTTTAATTATTGTTGTAATTTTGAGGGAGGAATTTTGGTGTTCGATGGGGGAGGGAAATTCTGCGGTGCTTTACCCTTGGGGAACAGAAATTTACATCCCCTGAAAAGGCATCTGGCAAAGAAAAGCCAAATAAATCCGTGTGTTGATATATGATTAATCATTTATTTTCCTCTGAGGCAACAGATGTAAAATTCCACCACGGCGCCCCTCGGGGCAGGTCAGATCCCCTCCTGCCCCCAGCGCAGGGGCCCAAACTCAGCTTCGGTTAAGTCAGCTGCCAAGTTTCTGGCAGTTCAAAACCAGCTCATTAAAACAAGCTCATTAAACCCAACGCTCCGTGTCGGGGCCAGGTCCCTATCACACCGACTGGCCGTGTCTGTTGAAGGGAGTGCAGCGTGTAGGTCTTGCTCACGTCTCCTAGCTCCCAGGGCGGTGACAGGAGGATCGGGGCACCCGAGGTGGCACAAAGCGTTGTGTTTCCTCAGAAAGACCCTTGTTTCTTCATGGACTTGCTGTGTCGTCTCAGGCTTTCATCCTTTTATCTGTTTCATTGCAGGCCGTGGCAATTGAAAGCCTCTGGGTCTTTGGTGCGCCAACACACCAGCAACACGAGGACCCTTGATGTTCATCCCTAAAGTTTTCAGTAGGGTGTGGTGTAATTTCTTTGTTTTCCCTCCTAAACTGCAGGAGGGCACAGGTCTGGGTCTGCCTTGTTTTTCTGCTGTGAGATGCCAATTACCTAAGGATGGGGAGTAAGAGAGTCGTCCCATGACCTGTCCATCTTGGAGTGCAGGATTACGTACATTTCAGGAGGATATTTTTAATAGAGAAGGGGATTGTAACACAATTGTAATGCCTTTTGCATGACTTGTTTTTCTTCCTTCAGTATTTGAAGCTAAGGGTTTTTTTACATCTCTTCAAGTATTTTTTAATTAATGTTTTACTGTAATTATTTTTCTGATTGATATTAGGCAGGATGTGAAGGCATGATTTCTCATTCCATAATTGTCAGGGATCTGAAATAGAAATGAAATATATCCTGACACTATCAGAAACAACTGATTTTATGGGAATATATCCATTAAATACTAACAGAAGTGACTCCGTCACATTTTCACTCCAAAACCAAGTAATTCTAAAATTATAGTACTTTCTTTCTCATGTCTTCCAGCCTCTGTACATAAGATTTTTGCAAGCAAATTAGGCAGACCTTACGTGTCCATTTAGCTGAAAAAAAGCTATTTGCAGATATTTAGTCTAAATTATCCCGTCCTTTGTTAGACATAGCCCATCTTGTAGTTTCATAATGAACTTGTCTTACCTCTCATGGATCTTATTAGCAAGGATGAGCAAGCAAACATATATGCACTTCTGGATGAGGTAGTTTAAAAACTTTTGATCAGCCATAGCTAGAACAGTGAAGGCGAGCTGACAATGAAGACAGAAGCAACCTATCCATCTACAAAACCACAAAAATGATACAGAAGGTTATAGATCATATTTCTAGGGATCTACTTTGTATTAATTTTTCTTGCATTCGCGAAATTTAAGGAGGTCATGTTTTACTTTTTATTTAACCGTGCTATCAGTAAGTGCCTATTCTGGTTCTAGGCCTTGCTTATAGGAAGTCACATAAAGAGGGCAGTGGAGCTGTAATGGACTACAGACATAGGAAGTTAACTATGAAAAAACCACAAAATAAACTCTCTGTATATGTTTGTGCATAATAAAAGCTTCAGATTTTTACTACCCTTTTATTCTCTTCATGCAGGCACACTTCTTACAGGCGTTACTTGCACATCTTCAGCATTTATTAGGTAATCTGAACTCCAGCAAGAACTTGAAAACAAATACAGCTTTATAATCTACTTTCAAGATGTACGACTAAGTTGTAGCCATCTCAATAGCACTGTTTTGTGGGCTTTCTGTCACAGGAAGATGGGGAAGCTGAGATGTTGTATAGCCTTTCCGTTACCCATTCCGCCTGCAACTATGCTGACTTTTGTCATAAAGATACAGACTGCCTTTAACTTTCTTACCAGAATAAATGCCACTAATGGTAAATAATTTAAAATGTTCTCACCTCCAAACTCATCTCTGATCCAAGATTCTCACAAGCAAATGAGACCTCTTTTCCTAATACCTGTGAAACCCTTCCTAGCCAAACCGGTTCATCTGAGAGTAATGCCATAGATTTTCTCCTTTTGGTCTGGTAGGTCAGATAGTGAAGAGTTGAAAGCAGAATCTGAGTTTAAATCCATATGTGATGGAATATTGAAAGGTTCTGTAGTTCAAGGACTTCTTAAAAGTCCTTTTACAGTCGTTTGCTCACTTATTGCCACCCCAATACTATCTTTGTTTGCATTTCCCAGTAGTGAGATCAATAAATTATCGCGTGCTCTTTCACAATGAAGGCCATGGAGGATCAAGTAGTCCAAGAAGAACCAGGATACCAGGATGATGAGGTAAATTCATGATTCATTGAAAAATTATGTGCAGCAAATGTTTGACGGTATTTCGATGTGTTACAAAATCCACAGAGAGACAGGAGGTCTCCAAAGACCATCAGGCAGTTCAATGCATTTAAAATTTTGTTCCAGTCTAATACCAAGAAAATCTCATTCTAGTCCCTGCACAGCCCTGCTCTTCAAGTACTCTTCATTAACCTTTCAAAAGCTATGCACAGTTTTTAATAGGATTATCATTATTTCTTTATATTTTACACTTCTATATTAAAGGCAAAGGAACTATCAATTATGCTTCCAAGGAGTGGTGTTCCGCCTGAAAAGGCTGAGGAACTGTGGCGGAAGGAATCAAGAAGATGATGATTGTAACACGAGTTTTATTAGCACAGCAAAGGATGGCTTGCCTGTGAACATACATTTTATGAAGAGGCTGATAGGAAACGTGTAGGCCTTCTTGGCTCACTATGGCTTTGCTTATTCGGGTAGTCCACCAAATTACGTATTATTAGGGAAAATAATTTAAATGTTTATAAATGTTTACATTTTTTTTCCACTATTTTTTTTAGGAATCCTTTTTTCAGGATATTGACCTGCTACAGAAGCATGGAATTGTAAGTATTAGCAGTGATGTTACCGCACAGAATTGTCCATGTAAAGCTGTTACGAGATTATTTCCAAAAGTGTATAGACATTGATACAAGTAACTTAAATTCTTTCTTGCAATAAATTCTAAATCGGTCATGAGAAGATAAATTTTGCCTTTGGTGATAAGGCAGGTTTTCAGAAAATCTCATTCCATCAGATTCCTAAATAAAGCAGCGAGATATTCAGAGTATTTAGCACCCAGCACTCTTGAAAAACCAACGACTTGCTAATTTATTTGAAAACTGTGTGATAGATTATTTCCTGTTCCTGCCAATCTTTGTAATTACTCCTGCATTTTTGGTGCCTGTGAAATTACACTGTGACAATTGTTGCTATACTATTTTCAGCATGCTGGTGAAGGGGGTAGAGTGGGAGTGAGGAAAATATTGGTAGCTAGAGAAATAAGTGGTTCGTTTTCTTCATCAAATGTGAATTCCTATAATCGTTAGCATCATCATTATTATTATCACATAAACATCACCTATTTATTTGAACTACTATTACTATGTTTATCCAGGAGACCGGCTTATGAATCAGAACCCTATTACATTCAGTGTTATAGAAGCAGAATAAAAAGCTGGGTTTTCCCAAAGTAATGTCAGATTTAGCTCTAATATAAATTACTGCAGACAGATACAGATGGGGAGGACGCAGACGCAGTAAGACAGCTTTAGTCAGCACTACAGTTACTGGGCTTAGCATGTCAGCATGTAATTGTTGTCGACTTTTTTTATTGGCAATTCATTGAGGGTTCTGAAGGATTATGAGATTGGGAGCTCTAACTATGGGGCAACATAGGAAACCCACACAAATTCTTGTGTTAAAAATTTTACAAGTTGACCAAGGAGGCTGACCTCATGAGCTGGAAGGGAGTTGTACTGGCCTGTCAAGATTAAATGATGCATGGTATGCAGAGAATGATACTAAGGTATGAAAGATCTTGAAAATAAAGAATAATGACAGGCTGTTCTTCTGGCTTAATGAGGGTTTCCTGCTCTTTTTCTTTTTGGTGTTTTTTTTTTTTTTTTTTTTTTTTTCCTTCCAAGTCATTATTCCCACATGCCAGGTAAAGTTTCTGTTCTCAGCTGTGCCAGTTAAAATCTTTGTGTGAACATACGATGACCCATATCTGTTAAATTCATTTGCTTAAATAAATAGTTTTTGTGGGTTTAGAGTTTTTTTCCTAGGAGTAGAAACATTTAGTAGATCTGACAGCGTGGCCACAAAGAGAGTCAGATTAGCACAACTGAAGCTGCGGCTGGATATTCGAAAGTGTTTGGTAGGAATTAAGGTGCTGTGACCCCGCAGCCTTTGCTGAGTGTTCCTGCCCCTAGAGCATGCTATCCCTTCTTCTGGCACATCTGCTTTCGTAGCCACCCTGTGAACTGGATTTGAGAATCAATTAGTCCAAACAGTATCACAACAAAAAAACATGGTTTAGTTTTTTTGGTTTGGAAATTCTCAGCCTGCTCCCTTTTCCACTCAGAGGCACAGGACTGGGACAGGGCTGCAACATGAGGCGGAGGATCAGGAGAAGCAGCTGGTATAAGG